TCACATATATGCGGAAAGGGGGGGGGGAGGGGGAATATCAGCAATGAATGTTATGTAAACCTTCGAGATTTTTATTTTTATTTTATTATTTTATTTATTTATCACATTTTGTATTATTATATTTTAGTTATACATAATTTTTCCCTTATATTAGTGCTAAATTAACTATTCTTTTGTGTCTTGGAGACTCATGGCTTTGTTGTTTGGATTTATTCATAACATAATCACCTAATGTCTCTTTTCTAGCTTTATGCTTATTTTAGTAAAAAATATTGAACTTGTGATATTTTTTTTTTTATTTTAAAAATTATAATAACCCTTATTAATTTGGCTCGTCATTATTAAAATAACAAAATATTTTTTTCGTCTTTGTATTAGATTTTCTTATGTTTTCTGTAGTTGCATAAGATATTATTCAATTGTATTAGGAGCAGCTGAATCCAAAATAACTAAGCGATATATTACCGATCAACGCTGGAAAAAAATCATACATGAAAGAATACAGCGCTATCAAATATCTTGTCCCAAATTAAAGACTGTAAAAATATTTTTTATACTCATAGCAAAAGTGACGGACTAAGAAGCTTTGAGGCTCTTTCTTCCTAAACTCCTCAACTGATTATAATACATATTGCTTCCTCTCCAAAGTAGCAAACTCCAAACTCTTAATCCAAATCCATTATATTACCAACAATATTGAAGTTTCCTCAATTATATACTTTTAAGATATTTACTGTGTGGAATGCTATTCACAGTCTATAACTTCAAATTTTGACTACATTTTAAAGTTTGATTTGGTGAATGAGATTGGTAGATAACTTTTTCTCCAAATAAAATAAATTATTGATAGTATTCTTTAACCGAATTCTTCCAAGCGAAGGCTTATATATATATATATATATATATATATATATATATATATATATATATATATATATATATATATATATATATATATATACATATATATATATATATATATATATATATATATATATATATATATATATATATATATATATATATATATATAATATTGTCCTCATTTACCAATTCCTTCTCACATCCCAAAATGACGTTATTCAATAAAATAAATATTGTGAAACAGATTTTGACTGAGGTGAATGGTTGATAAAATTTATTGAGTCTTAATTTTAAAAATCAACCCATGCTTATTTTATTTTATTTTTATTTTCATTTAAATAATTTTTTTTTAATTCGTTTTTTCTCAAAATTTTATTTTATTTTTACTTGTTTTAATTTAATTTCACTGAAGATACTGTATATATACTTTAATATTGATTAATGTAATTTTTGGCCAGATGTAGTTTTTTTTTTTTTGTTCATATCTGTTATTCATAAGGGACCTTGTCCCAGAATAAAGTTTACTTTCGATCTTCTATCTATCTATATATATAGATATATCTATATATATAGATATATCTATATATATAGATAGATAGAAGATATATATATATATATATATATATATATATATATATATATATATATATATATATATATATATATATATATATAATCAACTACTGATATTGTTGATTTTTATTTCTGAACGTCGTTTATTGTTTTACTTTTATTATTATACTTTCTTATTGCTAATGATATTTATTATTTTATTTAATTGTATGCTAATTTTTTTCTTTATTTCATTTTTATTTATAATTTGAACTTAATTATTTATATATTTTTTTCTTGTATACATATATTTTATGAATTGATAGTAGTAATACCTATTGCCCTTGGGTGTGGCAGAATTATTATTTAATAAATAAATTTTTAAAAAATACAAATATGACTAACTTCTGCCTTCGCTTGGAAGAATTCGGTTAAAGAATACTATCAATAATTTATTTTATTTGGAGAAAAAGTTATCTACCAATCTCATTCACCAAATCAAACGTTAAAATGTAGTCAAAATTTGAAGTTATAGACTGTGAATAGCATTCCACACAGTAAATATCTTAAAGTATATAATTGAGGAAACTTCAATATTGTTGGTAATATAATGGATTTAGATTAAGAGTTTGGATAATTTTTGAATATATGTGAGCAATTAAATGATACAAGTATGTACCACTGTTTACTTTCTTAATACACACTCTTTAATTATTTTGTGATAAAAATTTCTTGGCATTAGTTTAATGCAAGAAAGAAATGAACCCAGGATTGACTAACTGAAGAAGAAGAGAGGCTTACCATGTTTATAGCAACTAGAGGAAAGCGACTAGTGGTATTTGGCGACGTAAAAGAAGAGAACAAGGAAGAGAGAAATACGAGCTCTTAAAACGGCAACATGAAAATAAGGATGCAAGAGGTTTCTTTGGGGGAGTACGACATAGCAGGCAGAGATACAATCCGCGAAATTTTTCCATGAAGGACGAGAAAGGCGATCTTCTGGCTGGCAGAGGGGATGTTATCAATAGGTTGAAGAAATACTTTCAGGGACTACTGAACATGGAAGAAGAAGTTAACGAGGACATAATACAGCAGAACCCGATGGGACCCTAAACAATAAAAATGAAAACGATGTGGAAACACCATCTGATAATGAGGAGGTTTGGGAAGTACCCCACAGCATTAAGAATTATAAAGCTCTAGGAGTCAACTGTATACCGGTGGAACTGCTGAAGAATGGTGGAATGACAGTTCTCGAAAAATTATACGAAATAATTTTCGATGTGTTGGTGAATGAAAAGATGGCGATAAATTGGACTACAGCTCTTTTAGGCCCCATCAATAAAAAGATAGACAGACTGGAGTGTGAGAATTACAGAGTCAAGCCCTACTTAACGTAGCCTACAAAGTGCTGCCGTATTTGATTTGTCATAGGTATCACGTCTTCAAGTACATGAAGAAGATTGTTGGTGACTACCAAAACGGATTCAAGCAAGGAAGGTCGACAACTGACTGCATTTTTGTTCTGAAACAGCTGTTGAAAAAGGCACATGAACTTGATGTTACTCTCTATCATCTTATCATAGATTTCCAGGAAGCCAATGACCGCGTTGATAAGGTAAATCTTCTGCTTTTCAGGTTCGGATGACGATGACCTGTTCTAAATGTCGAATTAAATCACCGGGCCACTGGGACAGGAGTTTTCAGCTAATAATGTTCTTAGACAACGATATCCTTTGTCAGCAATTCTCTTTAATTTTTCCATGGAGGGAGCAGTGCACGGCATAAGAACCAATCTTGAAGCCACCATATATAATAGTACTGGCCTATGCTGATGATGTCCACCTATTAGCAAGAACGCTTGCCGGAGCCTTGGAGGAGTTGGAACGAGAGGCAAATAGAAGAGGTCTCAAGATCAATGAGAAGAAGACGAAATACATGAAGAGCACCCAGAAACCCCCACAGATACAACCACATACAAATAATAATAATAGTCATAACTTCCCAGTTTGTAGAGCTTTTCAATATCTTGGGATAGTAGTCACCGAAAAGATTGAACTACGCAAAGTGATAGCATAGCAGGCCAGAATAGCATCAGGGAATCGTTGCTTTTTTGCAATACATAAAGTTTTGAAGTTCAAAGATCTTTCTAGGAGCGCCAAGGTTTACAAGACAATTATTCACCCGACAGTCACCTATGGCAGTGAGACATGGGTCCTGACAAAAGAGATGAAGAAGCAACTATTGACCTGGGAAAGAAAGATACTAAGAAAAATACATGGTCCAGTATACGCTGATGGATAGTGTAAAATTAGAAAAAAACAAGGTTTAAGAGCATTGTATGATCAGCCAGACATATTAAGTACATTAAAACAGGGAAGGCTGAGGTGGCTCGGGCATTTGGTGCGTATGAAGGAGGATCCTTTTCCAAGGAAGCTACTTTTTGAAAATCCGGCTGGTACTCGAAAGCGACTCAAAATGAGATGGCTGGGCGATGTCGACGTAGACCTGCTCCGACTTGGAGTTAGAAGATGGAGAGCGGTTGCTGCAGATAGATCAGCCTGGCGTGCAATCTGTCATGGGACCCATTCCCTTCAAGGCCAGTAGCGAAGAATATTGTTATTATTATTATTCCGAATTTTGTATTACTACTAACAATTAGGGGCCTTTAATTCTTATTTTATTAGTTTAATTTTCAAAATTAGAGATACTTTCGATAAAGAAATTTTGAAATATTGGTAGTCGAATCTTGACTAACTAATAATTAAAGGAACATTTAATTTTATATCGATATAACGAGTTAAGTCATAATTATTATGGCCGTTTTCGAGATATTAGTAAAAATGCACAAAACTAATAATACAAATTAGTATTTCAAATTGTCGATTTCAATAAAAAAAATCACTGTTACATCCTAGGGTTATACCTGCCTTACATATGGAAATTAAATATGTTACGTATTTTTTAATTTAGAGCTATGCTGTTTACAAATTCACTGACTGGTTGATCTTTATGCGAGACATAGTTATTTGGAAACTGGGACCATTAAACAGACATTTCTGTTGAAAACTGAGGTTCGAAATTTTACACGTTCGTAATAATTTTCACTACTATACAGCTTATGCATAACTAGGTGAAAGTAAAAATATATGTTAAATATTAATAACTTCTATGAAACATACAGATTTATATTGGAACGAGATAATCAACTATCGTAAACTATAATGAGTTTCTGATTTATGCAGTAAATCAACTATCAAATATTTAAAGACTTTAATAAATATACATATTACACTAAGATTATTGAAAAAAACAAACTAAAAAAGATGCCTCAAAAAGTTGACCACAGACAATTTTGTCTTCCTCAAACAGTATCTGTATTGTCTCTTCGGTCAAAATCTTAGTTCATGACAGAGTACTTAATTCCTGAGTTTGAGACCTGTGAACTGCCACCTCGTTATTGGGTTACAATGACTTGCACCAAGTTGAACCGGGCAAGTTTGAACTGCTTCGGTTCCAAGTTAAACGCTTTCCTGGAAGGCCAAGGTAGTCCCTATGGACAGCGAACATTACTGCAATATTCATTAGAGAAAGGGCTGCTTAGGGCCGAAACAGTTAGACACATTAACAAGCCCTGGACCATTTCGAGGTAACGATACCAATCTGCTGGGATATCGTGTGACCACTGCGGAGAGTGGTACACAGCTGGCTAAAATCATGTTATTCTAGAGAGAGTAAGTAGCAAACTAATTCAATTTTCTGAGACCAAGAGAATGGAATAGATCATTTTAAGGATTTATTTGAAGTGTTTTGTATCGAAGAAAAAATAATATAATAAAATCTCCACATTGAAATGCATTAAGTATTAGCGCTGTAAGCATTCATTCATTCCATATATACAGCCAAAAGTGAAGTTACGTAAAAAAAAACAAGGTGTGTGCTTCAGACCACACGATAGAAGTGAAAACATCAACAAAGCGAGATAAATATTATGAAATTGATCTTGCGTGGACAATCTTGAAAAATAACTCGCCACGTTACGACTTAGGTAGAGATTTCGGTAAAGAATAAAAATGATGAATGACCTTATCATGAAATTCGGATGACCTGGTGGAAATGAAGTCGAGTATAATTGGGATGTTCATGATGATTATTTTTTGTTCGTAATGTAATATGGATCAGGACGTGATAGGAATTTGCCATTATAATATATTTTATAGATTATAAGTAATATTTATGTATATTTTTCAATATTGATATTAAAATTGTATGGGGTTCAAATATAAATTCCTAAAAATTATAAGATTTTACGAAAAATAAGTTTAGTGCAACAATTCGGAAACTCTCGAAGGTTGAAGTTGAAGCGGTCAGGAAGTCGTTTCAACTTCGGGTTAAAAATTCAGAACAGTAGTTTTCCAAAGGTTGGAGAAGAAGCAGAAAAGATTGAAAAATTCAGAGGTAAAAGTTGTTTTACTCTACAAGAATTCTTCTACAATCAAAGAATGGTATCGACAGAGTTCATAAGTAGTTTCGCGGTAAATTTTTTCGTACGTTTTTCCCCTATTAATTAGTAGAAATATATTTAATAGTGAATTTAATTATTTTGCTTTTGAAAGATAAATACTGCGAAATAGCAATAAAAGCTAAAAATATATTATGATAAGTAAAATATATTTAATGCTTGGTATTATGAAGATTCCGTGATTAAATGATAGCAAGATCAACGCGTAGACTCTTGAATTAATTATGGATAATTATATTAGATATGGTGGTCATGAAATAAAAAAAAAGTATATTAATATATAATTTGGACAAATTTGGATTTGGGTTCCGGGTTCGAGTAAGACCGAGATATATAATTATTTATCCTGTTGCATTAGCCTTGGATATCCAATCACTATACAGTGGATAATATTAATTTATAATTTAGAAAGTGAAAAACTGACCGTGATGTCGGTTAAATAATCTTTGAAAAACCGCATACATATACTTTCTTACTACGTACTGAATCCAAGACCCTTAATGGTTTTTTTTTTATTTGTATATTTTTTTTCAAATAAAAATAAATATAATTAAATAATAATTAAACAACAGTGATTATCAAGTGGCATCCTTGAAATTGATTTTGGAAAGTTGATATATGATGGTTTAATCGGGTTGATTATAATTTCTGTGGCATTATATTTATTTTTGTAATCAATTTTAATAAATGAGATAAGTATCGATAAGTAGACAAAATAAAAAATCTTATAACAACATTTTATCAGTATTTTCTAATAAAAAAAAAAAACTTTGCAACCTTGTTTTATAAAATATTTTGCATCAAAGCAAAACGAAGAGAAAAAAAAAGAGGAAAACGGGTAATTTATTGTAATGAGATTTCTGCCTCGGGAAAATTATAATTCTTAATAAAAGTGTAGTGTGTACCTTATCCGAAAGGATTCGCAGGATGACAAACGATATGAAAGCATCCACGACCACATTTTACAGAGGAAAATCCTAACCAGAGAACGCCAGGTATTTTCTTTATAAGATTTATATATGTCGGAACCTTGAATGTACAAAGGAGAGTGCTGTTGGGTAGGTAAAGAAATAATGCTAATTGAAATATAATGAGAAATAAAATAAAATATTTTTTTTACAATTACAAAAAAAAAAAAAGTTATCATAGTGAGTAATATTGCACAAATGCGAGACCAAGACGAGTCTAGGTCCTGGTCTTGGTCTTGCGCAAAAGTCTCTCCACAGCCTTGCAGTTACTTATTAGCTTATTACTATGGAGATATTGCTGTAATTGTTTAGTTAGGATAAACCTAACTAAGCCCGAATGAAAAATTAGAAGAGTTAAATGCAAAAGTATATTGGTTATACCAATTCTTTACAGTAACTAAAATAGTCAAGTATCAGTAACTGTTTTGCCTTAATTTTTATTAAAAAGATCGTTTTTTTTTTACCAATCCTGGTCTTGGTCTTGCAAAGTTAGATGGCCTTATCTTGGTCTTGCAAAGTGCAAGTCCAAGACCGATTTTGGGCAACAGTAATGGTGACAATTAATCAGTAAATACCATAATTTCAATTAAAGCATTGATAAAAAAAGAGAAAATCTTGTAAAAAATCAGACCTCTCCCATTTAAAATTATGAAGATCCAACAAAAAATTGTTCTCGAGTTTCAATATATTTTATTTTATACAATAATAATTTTACTTTTAATTAGTTAAGACCAATGACGGTTCCACGGAAGGGACATTTCGGGCTGAAAATGTTGTCGTCCCAAAAATAAAATAAAAATATTTTTCTTATTAGTCCATATTGATCTTCTGATGGGTCTGAGCTAAATATTTAAGGAGAGGGGTGGCCGAGCAGATTTTCATGTTGTGTAATACAATAGTTTACCGGCAATATAATAAGAGTTCGAATTTCGGTGCTGGGGAACTTTTAACTCTACAAATAATCTTACGCCTTCTCCTCTGACTAGGAGAAACCACTTATAGCTAAATAATCAGAATATATAATTCTTTAAAATTATAACACATACACTAGTACTAAATATAATCAGAGGTAAAAAAGAATCCGTATATGCATCATTGTTCCTATAATTTCATGATCTATTAATTTTATTTATTTATTTTATTTTTTTTTTTTTGTTGGTCTTACTCGTTTCAAAGAGTTTCTTACTTTTTTCATATTATATTTTTAAAAAGAAAAAAAAAACCTTCTTAAAATTAAATCCTTAATATCAGGGTTTGGTATGGAAATACTATTTTAAAAAGTTTCGGTATCATTGGTAATTTCACTATCGATAGTTGTAAAGCTCTTTTGTAACTAGAACTTTTTTACTTACAACTTTCCTGGTAAAATGTATGCAGAACTTATATTTGAAAGTTCTGTCAATTTCGGTAAAAAGTCGAAATTTTATTTTTTTTTATTCGTGCCATAGCTTATTTCATTATAATCTCAGAAGAAACTATTTCTCAAGGGTGATTCAATATGGAAATTCCTTTAGATTTTCCCGTGACTATATCCTATAAACAACAATCCCCTGCAGGACAAAAATACCAGTTTATACAAAATAATTAATAATTAAAATATTGAAATTTGAAAAATTTCTATACATTTTGAAATGATTGCGAAGTTGGTACATAATTTATTTATAGCATCAAAAGTTATAAGACATTGATTATAAGTTTAAATATTACAAGTATTCTATTTAAAAACAGTTTAATAATTAATAAATAATTTTTGTTAAGTATAAAATATAATTTCAACAGGAGATTTCCTGGAATAATTTTTTCTTCTTCAGATGCTGGAGATCACGTATACATATTAATGACCCTTTAGTTAATGCTAGTTTTGTTGAATAAATTACAGACTACTAAGATTAGCCACTATATCTTTTAGTCACGTATGAAACTATTACAGAGAGCGCAGTTTAGCGCAGCACACATCGGATTCAAGCCGCCTCTCCCTTTTATGCTACAAAGGATCGTGCAAGCGGAATATATATAAATAAATATATAGTATAAGCAATATACCATCCTATTTTCAGATTGGAATACGCGATTGTTTCCATTCTATATACAAATAACATGTAGAGAATGCTCTATGAAATATTAAAACGACTATGCTATTTATATTTTTCATACCCGATTGCTTTTCTTTGAAGTTCAATAATGCTGTTAACGAACCCAGAACTAATTTAATTTATTTATTTTTTTTATTAATTAATCTCAATAGATGTGCCTTGTCTGGTTTTATTTTTACTATTTTTTTTTTGAGTTTCAATACTAAAAAAAAAAAAGATGGAATCAGCATAAATTAATAATATATTGCATTTTATTCACATCAGATAAACTTCATTATATTCATTCATTTTCACATGAAACCTTGAGAGAACTTAACAAATGATTTTGGTGAAGTATAAATAATGTTGTGAATAGTGATTTTTAGATGCTGATGTCGATCGTATCTGCCTGTTTAATTATTTTGAAGTGTAATTTTGTACGATCCATTGCGGCACGTATTTATAGTTAGGAAAAAAAAAGTTTGATTTTATTATTCATGTCGTTGTTTGCGATATTATATCTATTGCTGCACTAATTTAGTTTAACTTAAAGTCTAATGTCTAAAGTAATATATATAAAATAACAATACACATTTTTTATCCATGAAATTTACAACTGTTAAAATAAAAATTGATCCTGTAAATATGAAACAATGAAATATAAAGGCATTAAAAAACTTCTAAAAAACTATCCATAGGCAGCACTCTAATAAAATTTCTATATCAAGGGATAACGAGACCAGTTTCTTTTCAGACTCCAGAGTAGAAGAGGCAGTTTAGTGAATAGAGGGTTCCAATGTTTCTGAAGTTTACTATAAAAGAATAGTATTCCGTGATACTGACCCCTTTTTATCACATTACTAACATACGAATGAAAATTCGTTAATAGCTTCATCTCATCGTAACCTATATGTATATAACCTATAACCTATATAAATATTTCATTTACGAAAAAACTTGTAATGGGGACGTTTTCAATATGCAGATAAAAAAAAATTAATATTTAATTAGATACCAAAAACTCGTAAATACTCATTTGCTTTTCACTTGAACCTTAAGACAATTTAATCACAAAATCGAGGAAAAAAGGTGGCCTACAAAAATATTGGGCCGTTTGGCCTAAGTAACCTCGTTATTTTGAAATGTTGGGAGTGTCAGTCCCGCCAAACGGTCCAATATTTTTGTACGCCACTTTTTTTTCTCTATTTTGTAATAAATTATCTTACGATTAAAGGAGTATTTACGAGTTTTTAGTGCCTAATTAAATAGAAAAGTTTGCCAATATTCACATTGAAAACGCCCCTATTCCGAGAATTTTCATAAACAAAATAGATGTAGGTTAAGACGAAATTCACCTAATAATATTCAGTTAATAATGTGATAAAAATAGGTCTGTATTACGGGCTGTAGGTATCTGGATTATGTCTAATCGGAAACATAGGTATCGTTAATGTCGATGATTTTATTCGTGGTATGTTAAGGGTATTGCTAATTTTTGATTGTAAGGGTCGGATAGAAGGAGAATTTCCTGGTTTTTTGAATACCCCATGCAATGTTTTTATTTTTCAATCTGATCAAAGAAATATAGAATACAATGGGAAATACAAATAATGTAGAATCAAAAATAAATAAATTTTACATTAATTAGTAATATTGGTGAATATTCTCAGTGATTTATGAAATGAAACGCAGACTATTCGATCCTGAAAAATATAATAAGTACTGCAAGGATCGATACTTGGCCATGAAGATGAAAAAGAGTTCGAGACGTTGAACATTTAAGTTTTTATGAAATAAAATATGGATTAAATCTTAAAACAGCGTTAAACCACGTTAAATCTTACAACTAGTAATAAAAACACTATACATGCAGAATAGAAAATGGCCACTGACCTGCTGGTAGTCGCCGAACTTGGTCTGATACTCGAAGACATATAGGAAGGAGTTGCGACCCTGCGAGGAATGGAGGTCTGCGGTGTGTACCATGGGGGCCACGAACTGGGCGTCGCTGAGGGCCTCAAGGGTCTCGTCTCGAATGTTGATCGGGTGCTGGACAGGCTTCTCCCAGTCCGTGTACTCGTTGACTATGGTAGCCAGGATCTCCGACAAGTGGTACCTGTATTATAAGAAAAATTAAGTATTACTAATATCTTAATTACTAATAAGTATTGTTCAGCTAACTCCCGAACTTTGGGAAGGTTTATTAAAGTGTATATGTTAATATACAATCCTTCCTTTATTCAGAGACATAATAAAAAATCTAAGGATATACGCATATCTGCATAATATAGGGTGTCCCATGAGTAGATGAAGCTATTAAAAGAGATGATAGTAGACATCAAGAACTACAAACAATTTTTTTTTTTAAAAACATGACCTAATTTATGAGCAGAAAAGAAGGAAATCGAAGGTAGGTATTTTTTTAAGTAAGTCACGTTATTTGTTTAATAGAAATTGTCCGAGGTACAGACCTATTTTACCAAATAATATATTATAGCACTCTAATAATATATTTACATAAGTAAATCACGAAGCCATCTTCTTTTCAGACGCCTTGGAGGGTTATCAGGTATCGAAGAGGAAGCAAGGTTGTAAACGAAAGGGTTCTGATGGTTTTTAAGTTTGTAATGGAAGGACAAAATCTGAATTGAGCTAAATCGGAAACATGTGGTACGTTAAGGTCGTTATATACAAAGTAAGGAGCATTGAGCATTTTACGAAGGATTATGGATTGTAAGGATTGGATAAGAGAGGAATTCGATGGTTTAGTGGAGCCCCAAAGCTCAATTCCGGAAGTACAAATTGGCCTTATTATAGCCATGTATATGAGTCTTTTGTTATATATAGAAACTTTAGAGCTTTTGTCTAGTAAATGATGGAGTAGTCGAAAATGTCGAACAGTCTTTTATGAGGATTCCTAGAGAGTCGTTGGTCCAGATGGAGTCCTAGGTATCGTATTTGTTGAACAGGGATAAGTGGGGAATTGTTAAAATATACTGTAGGACTGCAAGTCAGAAGTTTACGTCGAAGATTGAAGGTAATTTTGTGAGTTTTATTGGAATTTATTCCAATTCTCTAGTTTTGATGTTATTAACTGATAGGATACATGTGGTGTAGAATATATGTGGTGATGGTAGTGTTGGGATGGGTTAGGATGTCAGCTTTATATCCTGTGTAAAGAATAAACTCTTTGGTATTACCTTGAGGAACACCACCAGACTGAGAGTAAAGGGATGAATAGGTATTGTTGTAATTTACTTTGAAGTATCTATCAGTAAGGAAGAAACGGATAACGATGAAGTATGTAGGTGGTAGAAATTTACGGAGTTTGTACATCAATCCAGGATGCCAGACCCTATCAAACGCTTGTTCAAAGTAGAGAAAGAGCCCCGTGCAGTGCAGTATACGCCCTAACTGATAAAAGTATAAATGAATTATACTTTGTTTAAAAAACTATATATAGCTGTCTCTTTATTAACCCCTTTTAATTGCAATTCTACCTATTCAATGACTTCCTATCCGCAGCTCTCAAAAAATTGTAGTTAGCTGTTAGGTACAAATATATATCTATTTGTACCTGGTTTAAGATATATATATATATATAAATATATATATATATATATATATATATATATATATATATATATATATATATATATATATATATATATATATATATCATCGTTTATTTATTAGTATTTCATTTCAGTTAATATTGAAAATTACGTTATTAAATTATTTGTTACTTACCTATTATTATTTGCTGTTTATTTCTTTTATTGGTTTACTGTAAGGATATAAGAACTACAATTCTGTTCAAAAAGGACTTGTCTAGAATATTTTTGTTTATTGCGCAATATCGTTATTATTTTATTAACAATGGCCTGGGAAGGCATAATGTCTTTAGCTTAGGCTTGAGCCACGCTAAAACAATAAAACTAACAAAGTAAACCATTATACCCCATACAAAGCCAAGGATAAATTAGAAAAATCAAGTACATACTGTAAACCTAAAAGTTATCCTATGTTCCACAGGCAAGAGACAGGAATGCAGATTATTAATAGGATTTTTTTGTTACTTACTACGAAGTGTTATAAAGCTATAACTTGTTTATTAATTACCGATTTTAGTCAATATCAACCTAGATTACACGATACTCTTCTAATTCAGGATGCCTATTTAATGATTTTTCATAAGTTAGACCTACTTAATAAAGAGATCTTTTGTTAAACTGGACCATTGAGGTAGCACAACCATCTAAATTATATCTATGTATAAAAAATGATTTTTAAGGTAACAATTCATGAAGCAAATATTAAAAAAAAAAAAAATGATTTAGAGAGCAAGGTCTGCGATAGATATACGGCTTTGGAAATATAGATCGCTGAAAAGATGTTTATATTAGTAACTCATAAGGTAGTAAATCATAAATATGTGTTAACTAATGTGACGATCATTCTTAAAAAAATTTGTTGTATACTTTTTATCTAACATTTGGATTCGTTTAAATATTTCCATCTCATTATAGAAGCAGCTTTTACCAGGTAATAGGTGAATGTGCATAGGAAGCCAATTGAGTTCTATTTTACTATTAAAAAGGATATGAAACACCGCAAAAGGATCTCAGTTCCCATATAGGGCAGATTAACAGTTTAATAAAGCACAATTTTCATTCATACCTGTAGGGTAGAGTGAAACCATTTGTGAATACTGAACCTCATGTATATTTAATAGTTCAGAGTTCTTGCCATAGATAGGGATTGACCCTTGTTGAGAAAGTTATCGTAGAATAATGGATATAATCAGAAAGGAGGACAAAGGTCCCCTAATTGACGAATAAAATTCAGTTGGAGGAGAACTTGCAGTGCTTCGGCAAAGTCACCTCCAGTCCATTGTTAGGTACTTCGTTACGGGCAGGAAATTCGTTTTAGGGCTCTTTGACTTGCCTAGGCTCGTGTCGTTCTGCTTGTAAAAGGGACCTAATGCCCCTCCTTCCTCTAAAAAAGTCGTATTCTATATATATGATGATAATAATAATATCGTAGGATAGTGTAGACGAGTAGAAGACACATGGAAAACAGAAGAGATAAAGGATTCATTTTTCTTATACATTTTTTTTTTAGTTAAAAAATTAATCAAAATACAAGATATAATGTTTATTTAAAAATAATAAAAAATCTTAATATTAATATAGGAAATTGTCATTAAACAGTAAATACCCATTTTCTATATAAACTTTTTATTTTGTTTCGTATGGCGAGCGGTGTAGCTGAGTGGTAGGGCACTAAGGTTCCAATGCTCAAGGTCGCAGGTTCGAATCCCGGCCAATGGCAGACAAATTATTTATTCTGTTTCATTGGCCATGGGGTGACCCTGGAGTAGGAGACCTTCTATAAAGTGGGTACCCTTGATTAAATAATTGATTAAGGGAGAAAACCTGGCGGTTGAGTGTGATCCTGGCTCGATTCACTCCTTGCACAACCGTTAGTCTTGAAAGAGTACTTTCCCTAAATCGTAATGAATCCAAGACCCTTCCTACTAAAAATGGTGAATATTCATTGAGAAAAAAACCCAAACCAAAATGTGAACGTTTTGAAAACAGTTAAATTACAAAATAAAAACATGATACTTTAATAACATATGGTCTTATTTCTGTGCCTTGGAGCTAAATGACACCAAGTCACATGTTCAAGGGAAACAATATATGGAAAATTGGCTCCTCTGAAATTATGATTATCAAAGTTATGGATACTTTGATTATTAAATTTTGTTTCTTAGTTACTAAATTTGTACCGAAAAGGTAAAGGGATTAGTTAAGAGAGCCAATTTTCCACAACTTCACGTTATTAAAATTTGTTTCTTTGTTACTAAACTATTTATTAAAAAATTGGATATGGGTTCCTTTATCTCAACAATCATAGGATACTAAAATTTTATTAACCAGACATGGGTCAAATTGGAAGGCTGTAAGATTTTTCACATACTCCAAAATAAAAATAAAAATATATTTTTTTAAACTTTATTTTTACATTCACACCAGTCAAATACATCATTTACAATCTGTGGATAGTCTGGCAAGATTAGAAACAAAATAATGATGGCATGTCAGTCATGAGGAAGAAAAAAATAGCCATTGCTATTTCTTCCATGGCATTATTTCAGATTTTTTCAGCATCCTCATGATGTTGTCAGGTATGTCACTAGTGGTCATTCTTACTATTTTTTTTTTTTTTTTTTTTTATTTTTATTGAATAATAATACAATCAGCCACTGTTGGACGGCTATAAGTATTAAGGCTAAAAGTTCTCATTCATACAGTATATACAAGTAATACAGAAGTAACTATAAATATAAAAGTAAATAAATAATACTTATAAAAAAAAATGTAAATCAATAGAAAAAAAAATAAAATAAAATAAAAAAATAAATAAACAAAATAAAATAAAAACTTCTAAACACATTCATACCTATATACATTCGCCCAGGAATCTCCGAGCCAGCCTTTTCTCCCCACATGTGGAAAGCAAAGCAGGACTCCAGAGATCCCAGTGCCACTTTTCCAGCCGCATCACTAGTATTAAAAGCCAGTGGAGGCTGAAGGAGGGCACTAGAGCCACAGATGCTCAGGACTTGAGTGGAGAAGCTGGCCATTGCCAGGACTCCAGAAGCATATTTACAATAGATCTCGCGGCCACTGCCGTTTTAACCTTCGAGGGGGATTGTAGGGATGGTGGGAGCTGGATAGGGATTGAGCTAGAGGATTTGGATGATGGATAAGGTTCTGGTGAAAGTTTGAGAATCTGGATGGGATGATGTCGAGGACAAAAGGGATGTTAAGGTCATGGTGTAGGGTCTTATTTGTGACATAATATGGGGCATTGGCTATTGTTCTAAGTACTTTGGACTGGAAGGATTGGATGCGTTTGATATTCGAATGTTTAGCAGTTCCCCACAGTTCAAGTCCGTAGGTCCAGATAGGTTTCAGTATTGTCTTGTAGATTAAAAGTTTATTTTCAATCGAAAGATGAGATGTCCTGCTTAGTAGTCTATATAGCTGGCCATATCGTTGGTTAAGTTCTTGTCTTTTAAGTCTCGTATGTGGGTTCCAAGTTAGTCTTTTGTCTAGAAGGAAGCCAAGGTAACGGACTGTATCTGAGTAGGGAAGTGGTATTGAATTGAAAAGGATTGTGGGACAGGATCTGCGTCGCAGAGTGAAAGTAATATGTTTACATTTTGCTTCATTGATTTTAATGCGCCAGTCGTTGCACCACTGCTCAATCAAGGAGAGGTGAGATTGTAGGTTTTGAGATGCTATTTGAGGATCTGAGTGGGAGGATAGAATGGCAGTATCATCGGCAAATGTAGCTAGGAAGGTATCGGGATTTGGAGGGATATCGGCAGTGAAAAGGATGTAGAGAACTGGACCCAAAACACTGCCTTGTGGAACACCAGCCTCAACTGGATAGTAAGTGGAGAATTCGGTGCCGCAACGGACTTGGAAGGAACGATTTGAGAGATAGGATTTGAGGACTAGGTATAAGGATTGGGGTAAATGGGTTTTGAGCTTGAAAAGCAAGCCATCGTGCCACACCCGGTCGAAAGCTTGCGCTACGTCCAGAAAGGCACCAGTGCAATATTGCTTGTTTTCAAGTGCAGAGGATATATGGTCCACAACACGAAGGCCTTGTTGGACAGTGGAATGTCTTGAGCGGAATCCAAATTGATGAGAAGGGATGTTGTGGGATTCGAGTATGGGTAGGATGCGTTTGAGGAGGATTTTTTCAAAGATTTTTGAGAGGATAGGGAGTAAACTTATCGGTCTGTAGGATGATGTGTTATTAACGGGTTTGCCTGGTTTTGGAAACAGCACGATTATGGAGTGTTTCCACATCAAGGGAAAGTTGGTAGTACGAAGGATGCAATTATATAGATAGGTCAGGAATATAATTGATTTTTTGGGAAGTTGTCTAAGGATTTGTGAAGTGAGGAGATCATATCCAGGGGATTTTCGGGGTTTTAATTTGTTTATGAGGAATTTGACCTCAGAGGGGTTAACAGGTTTTGGAGGTAGAGAGAGAGGAATTGGTGAAGAGAGGAATTCTTTAACTTCAGCAGTGTGGGTGGGATGGAGTTCGGGATGGGGAGTGAATGTGTAGGATAGATGTTTAGCAAACTCTTCAGCTCTATTCGCATCTGACGAAGCCCAGGAACCATCATCACGGCGGAGGGGGTGGGAAATGGATTGGACTTTAAGGATTTTTTTAGTTACAGTCCAGAGGGAGTTATCACTAGATGTTAATGAGGAAAGGTAGGAATTGTAGGATTGGGTTCTAAAGATATCCAGTTTCTTTTTTACCTGTTTGGAATAATAGTTATACGATTTCCGGTCATCAGGATGCCTGGTTCTTTGCCAGAGGGCCCTAGAGCATCGTTTGCTATGGATAAGGTCCAATAGGTCTTGGGGTAGAGGATTTATACTGAGGTGTTTTTTGGGACGATCAGGTGAGGATGCAGTCCAAACTGCTTGCTGGATCAGCTTAGTAAAGGAGTCCACTGCATCGTCAAGGTCTTCAGGTGTTTTTAAGGAAACTCTGAGGTCTATATTATCATCCAATATTTGACGGAAAAGGTTCCAGTTAACTGGTCCCCTGATAAATGAAGGAGAGGATGATTTAGGAATGGGTGATGTGAAAGCGGTTAGGACTATAGGACTGTGGTCTGAGGAAAGATCATCAAGCCTTGAAATGGAACAGTGTAATGATCCTAGACCTTTGTGTAGGAAAAAGTCTAGAAGGTCGGGATGGCGGTTGGGATCTGTTGGCCAGTATGTGGGAGTATTAGGTGAAAGGATGTTGCTGCGATGGGAATTAAGTGCAGATAGCAGTGTTCGCCCTCGGGAATTTGTGGATCTGGCTCCCCATTGTTGGTGTTTTGCATTTAAATCTGCACCTAGGATGAAATGGTGTCCTAAGGAATTCAGGAAGGAAATTATTTGGGATTCGGAAATGGGTATTTTAGGCGGGGAATATGCCGCAACTAATGTTATTGGGTAAAGGGAAGTTTGGATTATTACAGCAGTGGATTGTAGGAAATTATGGGTTGGTAAGGGAAATAAATGATGGGAGAGAGATCGGTGGATAATTATAGCAGTGCCAGCATGTGCTGTTCCATCAGGATGATCGGTTCTATAAATATTGTAGCCAGGAACGTTGATTTGTCGTTTGTTGGTTAGTCGGGTTTCAGTTATTAGTGCTATGTCGATGTTTTTGTCATGTAATAAGATTGTCAGTTCGTTGATGTGATTTCGAATACCATTCGCATTCCATAGGAGAATGGAAAGGGATTTGGTTGAGGACATTTATGGATTTCTCGGCGGTGGAATGAGGTTGGATATAACATTGGTAAGTAATGAAATAAGAGGGGTGATAAGGGATCTAAATTCAGAGAGGAAAGAAGTTAATAGGCTTGTGAGGTCAGTGGAATTGGAAGGAGGAGGAATGTATGTCTGGGTATTGAACCTAGGTTCAGGGATGGAGGGATGTGGGTCTTGAGGTCGATTTGTGAATTCTCGAGGTTGAGGTTCTTGTGGCAGGGCCTGAGATTGAGTGTTTATAGTGTCTCCTTTGAACATCTGAGCATAGGTCACTCTTCCGTTCACTGTTCTAGAGGGTTGTCTTGGTGGCCTGGATGTCCCTTCTTCTCTAGGAGTTGCGTACATTCTTGTTTTTAATTCTTTGTATGTTTGACAACCCTTGTAGTTGGCAGGGTGCCCTTGGTGGCATAAAGCGCATACTGCAGGTGAAGTTCTAGACTTCCTACATTCTTCTGTTTTGTGTTGCTCACCACACCTCACACATCTAGGAATGTGATGACAATATCTTTTCGTATGGCCATAAGCCTGACAGTTATGGCATTGAACGATATCGCGCTTGGTGTAAGGCTTTTCCACAACAACGCTGGTGTAATAAAGGCGTGTGACCTTGTAGATGTCTTCGACCTGGGGCGTTCGGTCAAGGTCAACGAAGAATAGTGGGAGCGGTATTTTACTTTTTATTCCAGGCTGTTCTCTATCCTCCTTGAATATGTTCACTATCTGGCGAACATGGAATCCCATACCCACGAGCTCTTCTTTTATAGCATCAGTTGGCGTAGATGGGTGCAGTCTTCTGATAACGACCCTGAGCGCCCTCTCTTGACGCAGTTGATACGTGTGGTAATCCGCCTTGGTATCAGATAAATATTTTATAATTTTTCTGTAAGTTTCTGGAGTGTCGGGCATTAATTTAGTGTCATTGGTGCGGCTTTGGCATAAATATTTTCCTGAGCCCACTAGGTTATTCAATTGGTGACACATTAACTGAAAGTTTTTAATATTCCTAAGGAATATTGGTGGGGGTTTGGGTTCCCTGGGGGTGGGTGCTGCTTCCATTTCTTCGTTTTGTGTATTAGATAGCACTTGAAATTGGTTCTGAGTAAAAAACGGCGATTCTTCACCAGTCTGAGTTGTCTCATGATTGTTTTGTTGTTGTGAGGTACCAGGTTGGGGATCCACTTCTTCAACAGAGCTCCCTGGTGTGGCTGGTGGAGTATTTCTTTTCGAACGCCTTGTTCTTTTTTTAATAGGAGAACTCATTGTAGTATCGAGGCTCCTGGATCTAGTATTTTTACCCTTGCTCGACATTAGCATATGATAATATCGCATTTCATATTATAAGTGATAGTAAAAATTGTAAAATGAGAAGTGATAACAAAATTTTTTTTTTTTTTTTAAACACGGAAATATATACGCGTGCTTAGAGAGGACTGATCGGCACAGAACCTCCTTGGAAGGAGAGCCAGAGCCCACTGGTGGGATTAGCGATGTTATGGCCGGCCGCTATCAGTAACTAACCTGAGGTCTATTTACACTGTTCACTATTGAGCTGTAAATAAGTGATTACTCACCTTATTCTTTTGTTCAGTAACAAACTTAATTGTTAATATAACAGGTAACACTGTTGTTTCACATTAAAGTTGAACACTGCCACTATTAATGAAGAATTTTGTAAGAGATGACCTGACGTATGTTTAACTTAGGCTAACGCATGCGCAGAACTCCATTCTTACTATTAGCTTATTGTTATGTCCCTGTGCATTGTCATGAAATCTTGTGTAATTAGTACTTATCTATTTGCGGACTTTTGGTATTTTAAGGTCAGCATATATATTTGTGTTAAAAACTTATCGAGGGTGCTTGTGTACTAAGTCTAAACACTTTAGATTGAATAAAATATAATTGAATATATCATGGTCTATGGTCCTTGTAGAGCCTTGGCCTCCTTCACTATCTTCCTCCAGCCGCCGCTCTCCATCGGCCTACATCCAGGCTCCTTAGATCATCTTCCATCCAACGAAGTCTAGGCCTGCCTCTTTTCCTTCTTTCACCCGGATGTCCATCCATCATCATTTTAGAGAGCCTGCCATGTCCCATTCTTTGCGTTTGACCCAACCATTTTATTCTTACCGTAATTAAGATTGATATAATGTCTGGAGCATTATGTAGATTCTCTTCATTTGACTTCATGCTCCAATGATTTCCAATATATTTATGTTATTAAGTATATAGATGTAATTAATTAACAAATATTAAAAAAAAAATTGATTTATAACGCAGGCTTCTGAGTGAACTGAAATTTATAACAAATCTGGAAATCCTCTCTATTTATGTTGAGAGCTAATGAGCACTGCGGTCAAACAGTCGAGACCAGTTTTCGCAACATGTCGCGAGTATCGAACCGAAGCATCGGAGCATGAATGTTGCTGAAGCAGGCGAGGATGAAGCGTGCCGAGTGTGAATAAATGGCCAACTTTAGCAAGTCATTAAAGCTCGTTAGTGGAGCTATTCAAGGGCCAGCTATTCACCCCTCCCCTCCCCCCTCCACCAGCAACTCTTTACTAAATTCTGCTACGGCTGGTATTTATTATCTTCCTTGTGTAATGTGTTTTCTCCACGAAGACCATAATATAATAAGGTTGATAATAAATTAAATACAACAAAAGCTAGTGCAATCATAGCACATAAAATCAAGAAGTTCTTTCAAGAAAATAGTGAACCACAAATTTATAAATATGTTCATAGAATAGAATAAAAAATTAACTTCATTCTGGGAATAGTTAACAATATCAATTACAAATAAACACAATTAAAATATAATATGCATTAATGGCCAAAACTAATAAGATTATAACAACATATATATTCTTGAAGCTAGAAATACATATTCTGATTTACGTGTTTCTTTATTTTAATATTAAGATTAGACAATTTTGTAAATTAATTTATTTTTAATTGTCATTTAGTTATTCACAATCGCCAGACAATTGTCATTTATCTGTTCATTGCAGTTATTCTGAGGGGACTGAATGTCCCGGGATAAAATTTACTTTCTTTCTTTCTAGAAATTTATATACAAAAAAAAAAGTATCTTGAGAATAAAAATAATTGTTTTAAAAAACAATAACATAATATGAATTCATTCGAGAATTAAAACTACTGTTCACTGAAAATAAACAATATATTCTTAAATTTAAGTTCAAGATAGGTGAGTGTCTGTTTAGGATACGAAAAAGAAATAGAAAAAAAAAAAAAAAAAGGATTTTAATGCAGAAAGCGAATGACCATAGCGAATATTAGATGGTAGATTATTCCAGAAATCAGTGGAGGCAAATAAGGACCTGACGAGTGGGAGTTGTTCTAGAGAGACTACCAAACATATCCCAACCATATTAATTAAATGAATTGAAAAAGTAATTTTATTCTGGAACTACAGTCCCCTAAGAATAATAACTGAGTTACAAATTTATGGGTCTTATTCTGGCTTGGGATAATAAAAAATGAAGACTAATGAACTGCTGATTGTTATTGAAATTGTGCAGTAGATTGAAACTAAACAGTATACAGATGCAAGTAATTTCACATGTTGTGGAAAATTGAATGTGCCGTAGGTAGTGCAACAGGAGTTTTTTGAATTTGTAGACGAGGATTGACGTATGGAGGTAGGAATAGAGTTCCAAAAGGAGGTTGCACGAATGAAGAAGGATTTGGTGAAGGAAATAGTTTTATAGGATGAAATATGTAAATCTATAATTTGGGATCTGGTATTAAGAGAGCGGATAGATGAACGTAGAGTAATAAGTTCCAGGATGTAGGGAGGGTTTTTGGTTCTGAGGACTTTGAAAAAGAAAACGCCAAGGAGGAATTGTCTTCGGGAAGTAGGATAAAGCCACTTCAACTCGGTGTACCAGAATGAAACATGCGAATGCCTGAGGATCATGAAGATGTATGAAACGGTTCTTTATTATGTAAATTATGGATAATTATATTAGATATGGTGGTCATGAAATGAAAAAAAAAGTAAATTAATATCTAATTTAGACAAGTGGAATAAGTAGGACAGCTCGATGAGTTTCTTCTATGTTTTGCTGTCCCGGTTCGAGTACGGTCGAGATATATAATTATTGATCCCGTTACATCCGCCTTGGATCGACCCAATCACTATAAAGTGGGTATTATTAATTTATAATTTAGTAAGAGAAAAATTGGGGCTTAACCGTAATATCGGTACCACTGAACGAGTAGACTATTGTTTACCGATCATTTCATTTAACTGAAGGACTTAATTTGCAAAGGAAATTTTTGTCCAATCCCTCCAGAAATGACATAGGCAAAACCCCTATATAACAAGACAAATTAATGTTCACTGAACATATTAATTACAACATTTATGATGAACATATAACGGAGGACTCATCAAGATTTGAAAATGACTCTTAGTATGGTCGAAAAGTCAAACTAATGCGAATCAATAAAATGTTGGTGATGATTGGCCTGATTTATTGTAAAAATAAAAAAGAAATGTTTGTCTTTTTTGACTCATGCCCCCGTAATTATTGTACTTGTAAACTTCTCCGTTGGATATTTAGAAATTCTAGGGTCTCTTTTTTCTATTTAACACTTTAAAATTGAAACAATATGCAGTAATGCAGGTATAATCTCCATTAAAAACACATTTTTTGCATTAGTGATGGTCACCTCGGAATTCAATTGGTTTACTAATTGACAGGGGGTCGGTACCAGTAATAGACATACCTCAGAAAAATTCTAAAATCTTTATTTAACTATAAAGATAAGATAACACAAATATTCAAATTAATCTTAGCAAAACTGTTAGTAGGAAGGTATGAGGCACACTGATATCAAGTGCACTATAGAAAAAACAATGATTGGAGGCATTTAAAAATTTAATTTTGGAAACTTTGCCAATACAATTGCCAGTACAGGACATTTTTCTTCAAAATAGAAAAAAACAGTGAACTTTCAACCAACAAGGAAGTTTATTATTTACATTTAAAGTAAAACCTGTCCATCACTGGCCGACCTGTCCATAACTAGTGCGTTCACCCTAAATGGATGAGGGAAAGAAAATTAAAATAATCAGTTTTTTAAAATAATTTTTTGGGATGCTGAATTTGAATTTGAAGCAACCGATTTTTCGTTTAGTTTTTTTTTTATATGACACAAAAACTATGCGTTTTATCGGAATTATTGTTACATAACAACTTTAAATTGTTATGCATAAAGTTAAAGAAGATAAAATTTAATGTCAATTTTATAAACAGCTTTTTGACTTGTCAAGATGATTTGAATTTACCTAGTATCAACTAAAACATAAATTATCTGTCTCTCATTTATAAAACCTGTTAGAATCCAGTACCATCAAACAACATATCTGATACCCAGATATATGTAGCTTAAAGAAAAGAAATGCTTAAACCGTAGATGGCAAACATTTGGGAAGTTATGGGCAGTTGGGAACAGAAGCGTTTGTTGTATGCTGTAGTATTGTATAAGGGGTTTGTTACTAGCTCTCATTTCTGAGTCAGCACACACAGCACGCACCGCAATCCACTTCAGACGAAACAAAGTGCTTGGCGGAAGATGTGGAATTATTTAGCGAACTCTGTAGGGAATGGTTAATGCTCCTCGGGGCTGCTTTTGAGAAATATTATATAATAAAGGCAGTCATGTCTGTTCTGAATCTTTCATTAGCTCTAGTAGTGGTATCCATTGTTTTTCTTTTTTTTTTTTTCATAAGTCAGTTCTAAATAACTAAACCCAAAAGAAAGCACGTGCCGAGAAAGTTAATGAATATTCCAAAGATAATTGTTCAAAGAAATGGACTAATTTTAATGTAAATTATTATACAATTAGAACGAAAACAACTTTAAAAGTAAACGTTCTGCAAAATGTATTTACTAAAGTAGTGATTTTCAAACTGTGCGAAGAGGCATCCTGAGGAGGCACAAGTAAATGCTAGTGGATCCGCAATATTTTTCTTTTATTCAATATACATGTGAACTGTAGTATACGACAATATGCAAGTGAGCTGATTAAAAGTGAAAGAATGACATCACTTTATCTCTAGATTATGTATAATAAAATTATACATAATTGATCTTTATATAAATTTTAAGTTACCGATTCTTGGTTTTTATACAAAAATTATGACACGTTAACGTTTCGAGATTATGCCCCATAATTAAGAATCCATCAATGGTTAAACCACATTTGCAGTTATATAATTTACAATAAATTATTTTCTTGAAACATATTTTATATTTGCAAGTCAAAAATATAATGAATTTGGTCCGTTTACTTTTTCATTGATTCTGCATGATTGCTATTATGCGTTATTTTTATAATTCAAAATAGTTCTTTTGGAATATTAAATTGAGGCAGCATTTTCACACTGAACCATTTATTAATTTGGCTTGTTCTTGTTCTTCGCTGTTATTCATACTTGTTTTAATTTTACAGTCTCACAATTTTTAGTTAATTAAGTTATTTTTAAAGATTTTGACTGATTTTGAGGTGTTTCTATTCCTTTAAATTAGGTGAATTAAACAATAGGAAGAATATTAGATTTAATAAATTCTTATTTCAAGATAGATAAGTAATATAAATTGGTAAACACCATATTGCTAACATATACTAATTACTAAAATAATCACGTAACTCAAATTTAAATTCTAGGCGTCCGTTCATAACCTAGATCACATAATTTATATAAAATGAGAGTAATTCGGACAGAAAATCATAAAATTGAAAAAAAAATCATAATAAATATTAAAATATATTAATAATAAATGAAAAACGAACATTGAATGAAAATTGAAATATTTTCAGAAATAAAAACAAAAATTTGTATAAATTCTGATTCGTTAAAACACTGAAACAGTGCTTGAATAAAACAGAAGGAGCTAAAATAGTCTAGACAACTCAGTCACGACCTATTCTCTTCATTTACATTTCATACAGCCAATGCCCTAGTTTCTGGGTAATAGGGCTAGAGAATAGAACAGCCAGTCAAAACTACTCAAAAGTTTATCTAATTAAATAGAAAATTCTAGAATACATCAGGAGATAGATTTGTACCGAATTAGTTCATTATGTCTTATTTTTTCCATATTAATGATCTTTTTACTGTGAAATAATACATTTTGCCACATTTAAGTGCAATGAGCACTAGTGCTGAATGAGGCGTAATCATGCCATATATTATATACGATATATTAAAAAATAAAATAAAAATAAATAAATAATACATATATATTCAGATTATGTCTAGTGATCAAAACGATGGTACTGTAAGCCTTATTTTATTTTCTTTCTTTTTCAATCATCAACATTTCTTCATTGAATAATATTACATTCTATCAGTCATACATGAGTTCACTCACAACATATGTAATATTAATAAAAATAGATTATATAGAACAACAGAAAAATAATAATACTAAAAATAAATTTATATAAACACAATTAAACTTAAACTAATAAAAAAAACACTTAAATATAGCCATACATTTATTCAATATTTACAAAATTCATTCACTCAGGAGAACTCAAGCTTTTCTCCCCATTTGTGGAAGGAAAAACAGAGCTCTACTAGATCCCAGCGCATCTCAATCATCGCCTCTTAACTTGTTTAAGTTTTATTAAAAATATTTTAAATATGAGATGTACTTTTCTTGACGCATTTTTCACTTTATTTGGGCTTCGTAACCAGCTCCATGACACGTGACATATTATTTGTTATTTTACGCTATTTGAGTAAAAGCTTGTGTGGCAGTGTTGCCTAAATGCGAGACCGTGACGAGTGTTGGTCTTGCAAACTCAGTTTTGGTCTAGGTCTTGGTGTTGCGCTATTTACCTTATTACCAGCTATTAGCTATTAGCTTATTACCATAAAGATATATTTTTTTTTTTTGGATAGGAGAAACCTAACTATGCCCGAATGAAAAATTAGAAGAGTTAAATGCAAAAGTATATTGGTTATACTAATTCTTTACATAGAGTAACTAAAATTTTGAAGCATTGGTAACTATTTTACCTTGATTTTTATTCAAAAAATCGATTTTTTTTCAGTCTTGGTCTTGCAACAATGAGGCGGTCATAGTCTTGGTCTAGCAAAGTGCAAGACCAGGACCGATTTTGGGCAACATTAGTAACATTATACGAGGGATTCTACGGTACAGACTTCTTTTTTATCAAATTATTAAGATCTATCTAAAACTTAACGAATGGTAAACTTATCGTAATCCACACCTTTTTATATGTAAAAATTCTCGAAAACGAGACGTTTTTCATAAAGTTAATTAATTTTATGAGTAATAAAAACTCACGATTACCCATTGGCTTTCCAATTGAATCATAAGATAATTTGGTCCCGAAATCGAGAAAATGGGCGGCCTAAAAAAATATTAGGCCGTTTGACCTACATAATTATATATTTGACAGGTTGGGAGATCAAATTCATGCCAACAGGCTCAATACTTTTGTAGGTCACTTTTTTTCTCGATTATATGATCATATAATTTTATGATACAGGTGTAAGACAAGTGTGTATTATTGAGTTTTTGGTACCTCATTAAATAGACTAAAATTATTGATTTCTGTATTGAAAACGCCCAATTTCCAAGAATTATGGTAAGTAAAAATATTGTATGTTACAGTAAGATAAATTCATTCACAATATTTTAGACGGATGTTAATAATTTAATTTTTTTTTTAATTTCTATACCGCGGGCTTGTGGATAGCTAAAAAAGTTCGGAATTCGTGGCGTAATAAATGAATGATACATCATGACATTATGGCATGGTAGAATATGATATTATACATCAATATTGTATAGTATAATTTTTAGTTAAAAAGTTATACTTTAGCACAAGTTTCTATTAATCCTAGTATTGCTGAACACCTAATACACCTTATTTTCTAGATAGAATTAAAATAGTCAATTTATTTGGTGTGATAAATTCAAGGAAAAATCAGACCATATTTCGTACATACCTGTAGGTGCTCTTGACGAAAGTCCTCAATATATTGGTCCTCCGGTCGGGCTCTATCCCATACATGACATCTTCGCCGGTGAAGGAGAGGAAGGCTTCCGCTCGGACCACTCCGAGCAAGAGGTCGTACCTCGACAGCTTAGTCACCACGCTTTTTCGGGAGACGACCCACTCGTGCTGACCATGGTCTCTGCCCCGTGGTTTCATGCCGATCCCATTGTCTGTAAAACGTTTAATTTCGTTAGCGTATGACAATATTGTAATAATTGTAATAAATAATCTATCTAGACTAAATAACATTAAGGCAGGCTCTCAACGTCGAAAGAAAAAAAAAATATTTGGACCTTGGACATACGGTGAGAATAATAATTACTATTACTATTACTATTAGTTAATTTAATTTTCATTCCGTCGTAAACCAATGACTTCCTGTCCTTCAGTACCCTTTAGCAACATCTCACTTATTCCTGTTGAACAAATCCGTTACCTAGGAATCCATCTGGACAAACGTCTAACTTGGCATCCTCATACCAGACTGAAACGACAAGAAACAGCTCCTCGACGTTTCCGCCTACTTCAACACTTACTAGACAAACGCTCTAACCTTCCAATTAACTATAAAAGACTAATTTACATGACTACAATAAGGCCTATTTGGACTTACGGAGTTGAGCTATGGGGCTCCACCAAACCTTCAAATTCCTCTCGCATCCAATCCTTACAATCCAAAATCCTTCGTAAAATCCTCAATGCTCCTTACTTTGTTACAAATAAAATCATCGATAATGACCTTAATGTTCCTTATGTATCAGATTTGGCCCAATCCAGATATCTGTCCTTCCATAATAAACTTCATAACCATTCCAACCATCTTGTTTCTGACCTTGCTTCCTATTCAATTCCTGATAGTCCTCCGAGGCGTCTGAAAAGAAGATGGCCACGTGATCTCCTAATATAGACATATTATTAGAGTGCTACCAATGGGTAGTTTCTCAACATGTGTTTCATGTCATTATATCAATGTGCGAATTTACCAGATGTATTTTTTGTATACAGTTGTAAATATCATATAAATAAATTTAAAAAAAAAACTTGTCATTCCTGGACCTAAAGAAAGCCTTTGACTCTTCTGTCTACAAAACAAATATAGACAACTATGTCCAATGTAAATGTACTCACGGTGTCATAAAATCTGTTTCCATTACTCTTATTGTAAAATTAGAATAAAAGTAACAGAAACTGAGACTTTTCACTCGACTAAATGAATCATAGTAGGCGACATCTTTATAATCCATTCATGTATGTAGTAGTCATGGATGACATACTAAAGAATAAGAAACTGGAGGACAGTCGTGGAAAGATAAAGACTGAGGACAATTTTACCTCATCTTTTGGTTTTTGCAGACGGTACTGTTTTTGAGTGGGAGGCTCAACTACAAAAAAAAAGCGTGCCCTTCTCACCGAACATAATAAAAACGAAGTCACTCTACGAAAACTCCACTTAAGGATAGAGATGTTTGACTGGCTAAGACTCATGTAGCTACAACATTGGAGGAAAAAAAAATTTTTTTTAATAAAAATATCTAAAAATGAATTAATATTTTTCCAATCGCAGGTATGACTAATTTGTGTCTCTGTATCTAAACATTGTATACACTATGTTATACATGGAATTCAAACAACAAATCAATGAGTCCCCAAACGTACAGGTGAATAGTCAACTTGCCAAAGTTTTGCCAATTCAAGCATCATCAGGGCAGAAACACCAAAATCATTTATATGCAAGGAAAGAAAAAACAAAAAAGGGAAAGAAGAACGAAATTATTGTTGCTGTAGACATCTCACGAAGCTATCCAAATACATACTGAAGTAAAGAGGATGTTCTATTAGCACAGCTAAAGGAGGTTATATTGAATAGTTGATTACCAGGAATACAAGGAAGAAACGAAAAAAAAATATACATAACTAAAATATTATAATACAAAATGTGTAAAATAAAATAACAAATCAATAAATTAAAAAGAAATCGTATATATAACATCCATTCCCGACAAAATTCAGTGGATACCATTCCACATGTAATATTAAAATTACATGATATTACATAAATACGTAATAATACAAAATTATATAATAATATTAAATTTTAAAGATTTTGACGCAGACATTAAGACCCGGTGTAGTTTCATAGCAACAATCCAACATTTTATCGTTTTCAAGATAAATCTTAATTCTTGCCGAAAACCTTTTAGCTGCCATGGTTGAGGTTAGATACTCATCAAATGTTACGGTTTTAAAAATTATAAGGTCTTGTACAAACTAAAAATATATTAGAAAAGGCAAATTGAGGAAATAGTTCTGTTATTCCCTGGGTACCAGTATAGAAAGAATCTTTTTGAAGTCATTAAGCAATAAAAAAAAAAAAAAAAGGACTTGGCAGAGTTCAAAAATATATTAGTAAAATTTCAAGCATAGCCGTTTTTTATTGTCTAATTATTCATCCGCAGAAATTTTTCTATTGTAACAAAGCAATCAGTTGTTATATTAAGTAAAATATTTTTTTAATAGTCGTTGAAAAGTTTGAGGCTTCACCAACGGTGTGTGCTATATATCATATGTATATACTATAATGTTGTGTATATGAATAGACATAATTCCCTTGTATTGCTTGTACATGGAGTGCACCACGAAGAAAGATAACTATATTTTAAGTAATTGTTGAAGGACGATTGTCTGTAGTGAATAATTGAAGAGAAGATTGGTTGGGGCGTTCAATCATATTTGACCCAACCTATGTTTTAAGTAAGATTACCCACAGGGGTACACTAATATTAAAATAAATATGGAGTAAGAATATGGTCCGGGGTGATGGACATAATGATTAAAATAGTAACAAATTATTTTATTTAAAGCCGACGTTTCCTCGCGCGGGCTCATTACCGCGTATGGGGAGCGTCCCACGGGTGGCGGATGTGGGGATGGTCGGTGGAAATTCCTTGGAAGTTCCTCCCGGCTAAGTCCGATGGACTCGCTGACCAACAATGAGAGGGGCCCTCCAGACTTGCTGGAGGGAGGGGACCTCCAGACTTGCTGGAGGTAGGGGCCCACCAGACTTGCTGGAGGGTGTGACGTAGGATTGAACGCCCTACTCACATATCTTTAGTTCACCAAACACCACAAAAAGTCATGGATCTCCCTAAGGTAAAACGCTCATTATCCGGAGGTAAACTAGTCCCCCGTTCGGGTCTCCGGGTGGGGACTGCTTTAGGGGATTCATGGTGCAAGTTGAAATATAGGGATTTAAATATTGGTACGTGGAACGTAAGGAGTTTAAACACAGCAGGGGGGCTAAAATCGGTCGCGAATGAGGTAAATGGGTACAATTTGGATGTCGTGGCTCTGCAAGAGGTTCGCTGGCCAGGGGAGGGCTCGATGAGGGAAGGGAAGTACACTATTTGGTACGGAGGAAGCGAGAATCATTGTTTAGGTACCGGGTTTCTAATTAGGCGTAGATTACTATCCGCTTTGAGGGACGTACAATTCTTTAGTGATAGAATTTCGGTAGCTACATTTCAGGGACGTTGGTTTAAAATCGCATTAATAAACATACATTGTCCGACCGAAGACAGTGACGATGAAGTCAAAAGTGAATTTTACGATAAACTCGAATGGGTTTATGATAAACTACCACGAAACTACATGAAAATAATTGTAGGTGACGCGAACGCAAAGGTAGGAAGGGAAGAAGTTTATATTCCGACGATTGGTAAAGAAAGTTTGCACGAATATAGTAATGATAATGGGATCCGTCTGATAAACTTTGCCATCTCGAAAAACCTGATAATTAAAAGTACGACGTTTAAACATAAGGATATTCATAAATATACTTGGACATCACCGGATTCGCAAACACGAAATCAAATCGATCATGTCTTAATACAACACAGCTGGCAAAGCAGTATAATTAATGTACGGTCTTATCGCGGAGCAGAATGTGGGTCGGATCATGTATTAGTAATCGCGAAACTTCGACAAAAACTTAATATAAAAAAGAGAAAAGAAAACCGTTTCGATTTTGAGAATTTTAATTTGGAAAAATTAAAAAATCCATCAATTAGAAACCAATTCGAGCTAGATGTTAAGAATAGGTTTGAAGCTTTAGAGCTTCCTGACGAGGACCACGAGGATATTGACAAGTTATGGATAGAGATCAGAGATAATATTAAAGCGGTCGGTAACTCGTGTCTAGGAAAAAAGGAAAATAAGAATAACAAACCGTGGTTTGATGAAGATTGCATAAACATGTGCGAAAAAAGGAAAGCCGCTAAATTAAAAGCTCTAAATAATCCTAGCGAAGACAATCTGGAATACTTCCGAATCTCAAAGAACGAAACGACAAAATTGCTCAAAAATAAAAAAAGGGAGTATCTTAAAAATAAAATAATTGAAATAGAAACTAATAGAATCGAAAATAACGTAAGAGACATGTACAAAGGTATAAACAGATCACGTAAATATGTAGGGCCCGTAACGTCTGGAATTAGGGATGATAATAACAATATTCTGACCGATCCGGCTGACATATTGAATAAGTTTAAGGACCACTTTGACAATATTTTAAATACGGGAAATTATGATCTGTGTCCTCCTTCTGAGTACCAGAGTGCTGAACCGTTAATAGAAGGACCAAGTAAAGAGGAAGTTGAAGTAGCTATCGGAAAATTAAAATCATATAAAGCAGCGGGAATCGATAATATTCCTACTGAACTAATTAAGGCATGCGGAGAAGCTGGAGTTTCTAAAATACATCGGTTGGTTAAAAAGATCTGGGTGAACGAGAAATTACCTGAAGAATGGAAAGAATCTATTCTTATTCCGATTCACAAAAAGGGTCCGAGGACGGATTGTAATAACTATCGAGGAATTTCACTCCTTCCGGTATGTTATAAAATATTCACTTTAATCTTAACCAGTCGAATCGTGGAATACGCCGAGGAAATTATCGGAGACTACCAATGTGGATTTAGACGGAATCGTTCGACTATTGATCAAATATTTTCTTTACGGCAAATATTAGAGAAAAAATTGGAGTATAACGGTATTGTTCACCAGCTGTATATAGATTTTAAAAAGGCTTACGATTCTATTGACCGCCAGAAACTGTATAATATTCTAATCGAGCAGGGGATTCCAAAAAAACTAGTAAA